TTAGTGCCTTTTGCTAAAAAAAAAAAAACACATTTTATTTAAACTTTTTTTTTTTTTTTGCGAATTACACGACGTTTCTTAAAATGAGAAAGAAGAAAACAATTTCCATTTGTGTGACCATTTTGCGAATCGATTAACCCCTCCAACCATAACCACAAAAAGGGGGTTATTTTGCACCTGCCGTTCTACCCATGCATGCCAGCTCTGTACAATAAATAAAAAGAAAATTCAATTTTCCCGTTAGCCAAATGAAACTAGGTTAAAAGGGACGAAGTGTAAACCATAGCGTGGGGCTAGGGCCCTTTTCCCGAAAGTTGGGATATCCTCCTCGGTGTGCGCTCCATAACTTGGCTGAACGGAAGTAAATTTGCGGAGCACTAAGGTTTCAGCCAATCCCACACTTGTGTGAACAAACGACAAGGGCACAAAAACGAAAATTCGATTTTCTACAGAATTAACATTTTTGCGAATGGGGAACTTATGCGCGGGAAATAAACGTCGAATTTCCTGTGTGCAACGGAATTTTCCTCAGCTAGCTATTCAAAAAAAAAAAAAAAAAAAAAAACCTGACTGGTTCATAAAAAAAAATGCAACACCTAATTGCTCATTCCCTAACTTGAGGAGCAAAGTTGCTACGCGGAGTGGAAGAGCTCATGGTAGGGTGACCAGTAAAGCTGTTCCTACCATCGACAATAGCAATTTTCAGCTGTTCACATTTGCTCTCGTTTGCTCTCGTTAGCTTGTACGAAAATGCGAGATAGAGTTGCCGTAACAGAGCGGCATTTTATTATTATTTTTTTTTTTTCTCTCCAGTGCGATGGAAAAGATCACAAAACCAGGGAGGTTCCGCCGTTTCAGCCTTCACGAAACAACGATCCAATTATTTACAGCGCCTTGCTTTGCGTGCACATCCACATTCCATTTAAATATGGGGATGCTTTTTTCGAGGAATTGCTGCGTTTTTTTTCCTTTGCTCGGAATTGAAATGTGCCTCGCGGGAGGTACAAAAGAATTGATGCAACAACACGAGGACGGCTACATACAATAATATGATGTTACAAACATGGAGGTGTTACACCCATATGGGCAATCGTGCAAGTGGCTAATCGGCCAAATGACGAATTAACAAATCGCTACACGTGCGTAAATTAACACATAAAAAAAAAAAAAAAAAAAGGGAAGCATAAAGATAAATTTTGCGAGGTTGAGGGGGTGTGCAAGGAGCCCCCCTCCACCTCTGCGCAATAGGCATAGTTGCTTTGAGCAAGTGATCGGAAGTGAGCTATATATAATGCACGTGTGACAGTATGAAAATGTACAAGCGTGCAATTGGTGGAGGCCAAACTAAAAGGCGGGGGATAAGGGTCTGTTAAAGCCACCCCGCCTGTTCATATATTGGCGATACTTCCTTTTGGTCCTTCGATTAACGCCAGACAGGTCTGTCTCATTGTGACATTTATTGTCTGTCGTACTGAATTCACTTATACCCATAACTTTTTTTAGCATTTCCCCTTCGGACAAATCTTCTTCATTATCCCCATCAGAGGAGTCACTATATTTTTTATTATTATTTAAGTGTTGCTGTGCTCCACCAACTATATCATTTGCGACACCATGGTGATTCACCTTGTCCTCTGAATTGTTTTCCTCAGAAGGGTTACCATCATTGTGTGAGTATCTGCTACTCCGTTTTGTTACATCATTGTATTTTCCATCCATGCTTTCGCTACCTGGGGAGTTGTTCCTCCTGGCACGCCTCTCCTGATGTTCAGAGTTTGCCGCACTGCCTATGCTGCTTCTGTCGTGCCTGCCGCTGGAGAGCCTCTTGGTGCTCCCGTCCCTGCGCCTGTGCCTGCTGCGACTGCGGCTTCGACTTCGGTGTCTGTGTCTGTGCCTGTCGCGGTCGCGATCCCGGTCCCTATCTCGCTCTCGATCTCGGTCCCTGTCCCTATCCCTATCCCTGTGCCTGTCTCTGTGTCCGTGCTTGTGTCTATGCCTGTCTCTTTCCCCGTCGGTGCTTCTGTCGCTGCCCTTTCCCCCACTCCTGCTCCTGTGCCGATGTATGTGTCGGTGCCTGTGTCTGTGTCGGCTTCGACTTCGGTGCCTGTGTCTGTGTCGACTCCTGCTTCGACTTCGACTGCGACTTCTATGTCGGCTGCTGCTACTCCTGCTTCTGTCCCTCTTCCTGCGCTTGTGCCTGTGCCCGTCTCGACTCCTGTCCGACTTGGCGCACGAGCTAGAGCTCCGGTCCGCATTCATAACATCGTTGCTGCTGCCGGCGAAGGCACTCGGTTGGCCGTCCTTCATTTTTTTACGAAAATCATCATTTGATCCCTTGCGCATGTATTCCCCCTGGTCTTTATGTTCTCTTCCCTTGTGTTGTTTTCTTTTCCTGTCATCGTGAGAGGGTCCATCATCCTGCATCGCAGAGCCGTCTTCACCATCACCATGGTGGTTTATTCCCTTTGTATTTGCTTCCTCTGTGTTTTTTTCATTTTCTCCATTTGGCGCTTCAGGTTCAGTCGCTTTTCTCTTAAAAAACGCATTAAACATGGTTGGCGCGGGGCATGGAATGAATAAATAAATAAATAAAATGCCAAATGAAAGGGGAACATAAAATAAAAAGGGCTCCACAAAATGGAAAAGAAAAAGTGAGGCGCAGCTCTCGTTTCTTTTCTTTTTTTCCCCTCTCTTTGATTCTACGATGATAAAGTATCACAAACAGCTGTTTTTTTTTTTTTTTTTTTTTTTTTTTTTTTTGAAAGTTCTCCAAATCAGAAATTTGGTGTCACTGCCGCTCGTCCATCTTTCCCCCAACAAAAGTAGAACCTGCTTTCACGCGCAGAGAAAAAAAAAAGAGGTGCTCATTTTGCATCCATAGAAGGGTTATAGTGAAATATTCTCAAGGGCTTCTCGCTTCTTTGCTCCCTGCCCCGTGAAAGGTGGGCAAGGGACCGGATGCGCGCACTTGTGCGATACAAAAAAATTACCATATATCCACGCGTTATTTAAGCAGCTGGTGCACTTTTTTTATTTTTTCTGCAAATTGGCTACCCCACAGTGGAGGAACAACTGTCCCCCTGGCAGCCACAATGGGAAAAAGAAAATTATCCCATGGAGGGTTGTTCACCATGAAGCGGAAAAAATATATATGTATGCATTTATTTTGTATTACCAATAAATATGATAATATGGATGCCCCTTTTTTTTTTTTTTTTTTTTTTTTTTTTTTCTTTGCGTCTGCAATGGACGGAGTTGTCCCCACGTGATGGTAAAAATTTTAAATCGTTCATACATTATGTAAAGCATGTCAGTAAAGGTCAACTGGTTTTCTTTAAAAAAGAAATTTTTTTTTTTTTTTTTAACCTTCGCCTTGTGGGTACTCTGTTGAGAGTGTTTCCCCATTTGTGTTGCCTTGTTAATGCAAATTGGTTGTGACACGTCCCGTGTCTGGGGGGACGCGTGTTGGTGAAAACGAATAAGTCTAACGAAGGATAGGTGAAAGGAGGTTGGAAAAACATGCGAGTTCCGTTCCGCCTGTTAATAACATGGTAGCGTTACCAGATAAAAATGACCCTCTATCTGTGCATAATAAAAATGTATTCATATGTTGTATGATACCTTTTTTTGGAACCCTGTCCATAGCACCACCCCCGATCTGTAGTGACAACGCAGGGGGGGGGGGGGTGACAGTGGTTACTTTTCACCGCATGTAACGTACTGTTGTACATTTGTACTCTCTAATATTTGCATTATGTTTCCAGCTCCGTGGCCCATGCGTGTAGGGCAGAGAGCGCGCGATGTCTTTCCTCCACTCGCACATCAGCGACAGTGAGCTGCCTCTACATAACGGACGCGCGATGGTGTTTTTTTAAAAAAAAAAAAAGGGAACAATTGGATAAGTGGGACACAAAAATGTTTGCTACCTGTACAAGCATTTGACACACGCTTGATGTACAGAAGGCCGAAAAAGAATAAATGGCATCATGTGGGAAGAGCCGGAAGTATTGATTAACTACTTACGTTTTTATAACAATTACTTTTTTATAGCATACACAAATATAATACCTTGTGTGTCGGCAAATGCACCCCTGTGGATGGCTCACTCATGTACGTACGCTAAGCGATTTGGCAAATTTGCCTGCACACGAAAAGAAAAAAAAAAAAAAAACAAAAGCGCAACCTCGGTAGGTACATCTGTAAGGCAATAAATAGGAACCTGTAGAGGCCAGCAACCCACAACCCTTTCACGAGTTGCTTCGAACAGTACACGTGTCATGGCAAAGTGGGACGCCCATATCTGCCGCGTCTGTGCATGTCCACCGTCCCTCACGAGGCTGCCTTTGTTGACTTTCTTGTCCCGGTCGTTAAAATCAGTTCCAAGTGGGTTGCGTTGCATTTGAACCGAGTATGGTGTTAAAGCAAAAGTTAAAGTTTAATTGGCATGCTGTACCCCCCGTGTTTATTTTTTTTATTATTTTTTTTTTTTTTTTGTTGCCCCCAATCCATACAGATATATGGTCATACCTGTACATGCATACACTTGTGTTCACACCGCAAGCATTTTAAACATTTTTTAAAAATTAAAATACATACTACACTTAATGACCCCTTGTGTAAATATTAAAAGAAAATTTCTTTTCCATCTCTGTCATTTTGTGTCCCCCTGTTTTTTTCCCCTTTTTCCCCCACCACGTGTTTTTTTTTTTTTTTTCCATTTTCCACACAATTTCCACATTTTTAAATCTTCCCTTGGGACTTCCGAACGGGAAAAAAACAAACGTACGAATAAACAACTGTAACGAAGAAACAAATGGTAACAGAACGACAACAAAAATTACAACAAAAATGACAACAAAAATTACAACAAAAATGACAACAAAACGACAAACCCATATGTAATTCGTGTCGCTAATATTACGCACCTTCATTTATGCTTCCCCCATGCTTTACCAAAGCTGCCAACGTCGTTCCTACATAACCTGTGTTGCTTGCTTCCATATGAACAAAGGCGGGCCAGCTGCTCCATGGCCTACTGGATGGAGGTGACCCTATATATGTAGAGCTAGCTACTTATGTGTAAAGAGTACCTCCCATCCCCCGTGATGCGCCCTCGTGGTGGTCACATAGATTATGTCTTCGTGTCATTCTTCCTCCTCCGTGCGTATACGAGTTAACACGCGCACAGGAACGCGCAATGTTATGTAGACATGTGTAACACCGTTGCGTGCACGTGGTTTGTCGCAGTGGACACCTCATCATAATGCTGCTTTACGTTTTACGAGCAAATCGTAATTGCTCTGAAAAATGCCCCGTCGTTTGCGCCACGTTATGTTGTTACGTTGTTATCGTGTTGCGTCGCGTCTTCTTTTTTTTTTTGTTTTTTTTTTTTTACCTGCACGTTCATACAAAAGTGATCAAATATTTGTGCTCACGTTTTTTTTTTTTTTTTGTTTGTGTTGCTTCCTTTTCTTATGGCATCTGTTCATGTGGTGCTCCTCTTTTTGTTCTCCTCCCAACACAGAGTAATAAAATGGCAGCCAAATCTCAAAAGAAAGTTTTAAAAAAGCAAAACAAACGGAAAAAGAAGGACCCCTTAGCTCCAAAGAGAGCCCTGTCAGCATACATGTTCTATGTCAAGGACAAACGACTCGAATTAATCAAAGAGAGACCAGAGCTCGCCAAAGATGTTGCGCAAGTGGGCAAGTTGGTTGGAGCGGCCTGGGGGCAGTTAAGCGCCGCTCAGAAGACTCCGTACGAAAAAAAAGCGCAGTTGGACAAAGTCAGGTACTCCAAGGAGATAGAGGAATACAGGAAGACAAAAAAGGAGTAAACGCCGTCTGCCGGGGGCGACGCGCATAATCATCCACACATGTACCCACTTACACGCATATGCACCTGTGTTTTACCCCGGCTCATACGTATGTAAAACGCGTACGCATGCCCCTGAACAAGGGGGGAATTCTTTTTGCAGCCTGCGTGTGCATGCGAAGATACAAGTCTTTTTTATCATTACTGCTATGTTGCTAGGAGGCAGCGCTGCAGTGCACTTTTGGCGTGTGCCTCTATGCGCATACGTATGTATTATATATTTGCGCGCATGTAGTAGCTAACCAGCGCACCGGCACTTGCACACGCACACACACACATATATACATACACGCGAGCAGCTCACGGGCTAATATGTTTGTAACCCCAGCACGTACGTTCTCTTATGCACGTGCCTCACTGCATATGTTCACGTTCGTATGCAACGTATGTGTACATACATATGCATGGACTATACTATATATGTCGACTACTGCATGTAGCAATTTTTTTTTTTTTTTTCTTTATAACTCACTATTGTAGAAATATTCGCAACTCTTTTTTTTTTTTTTTTTTTCTCTCTCTCTCTTACGAAGAATAAAAGAAAAGAAAAAAAAAGGCTAATCTCACTGGGGAAAATAATCCACGAACGACTGGCCACTAAAAAAGGCACACATAAAAAAAAACAAATTCTTAAAAAGGCTCCATTATCGCACATAGAACACAAACACATTCGAATTTGTGTCCATAAATTGTTCGATGTTCTCTCTTCACAATTGGCTTATGGGTCAGTTCATGCCTTTCAGCCATGACACGCGGGCCGAAGGGCGAGTACTGAGCACATAACGTATTCCCACGTGGCACAATAAATATGCACATAAACTTTGCTGCTGTGCCGAGCTTGGCGCTCGCGTAGAGTCACGACCAGGCAACGAAAAAGAGTAAGGACGGAACGCGCAGAAAACAGATACAAATAAACCAAACTGAAAGAAAAAATCGGCACAAAACTGCCTGAACAGGACAGGAGAAAAAGAGGGCCATTTATCGAGCCAAACAAGCTTTTTCGAAAAAATAAATTATGAACAAGTCATATTTTTTATTTTATTTTTTCACAAGAGTGTCAATAAAATGGCGCTCACAATGTCGGCGATATTCAAAAAAAAAAAAAAAAAGGAACTGCATCTTTGCAGCACTCGCAAAAGGCATACCATGTGCATAAATGTGTGACGTGCGCGCACCTGATGTCATATGGGTGCACATAACGGAATATTAAGCATATATATATTATTTACGTTGGTGTCCCAGTTTGTTTTTCTCCCCCACCAATGTGTGATACCTTATAACAACGTTACAAAGGAGAAAAGGCAAACAAACGGGGGAATTCACCGCAAGTGGTTTTCCGTGACAACAATTCATAGCGCGCTCGTTTCTGCGAAGTGCGTATGCACGTATAAATGTCACAAACGGGGGAGGCATAAACACGGAATGCATCCATGCGATAATTTATCCACAGTGGGAACGGCAAAGAGTGTGCGTATTCCTCCTACCACGAAAGTGTGACCTCAGTCCATTCATTCGACTGAGCAAAGAAGATGGGTAATTTACATTGGGTCGGGTAACAGAAGGGGGATTCCTATCACACCGTAATGGGCATATTAATTTTTACTTTTTCTTTTTTTCTTTTTTTTTTAATTTTCCTCTACATGTAAGGTCATTATGAACAACCTGTTTGCTTCGAAGCAGTGCACACTGGTGTTTACGCGAATGTGCGGTGAAGGGTGGGCTGGACCATTCCCCTGTGTATTTAAAAATAACATCGTTCGCTGCTTCACTAACTAAATTTGCCTCATGATGGCTCATCCGTTGGCGCACAAATTACGGTGGAGTTGTACGTGCACGACGGCATGAAGTTATTTTACATAAAAAAAAAAAAAAAAAATCATTTGTATGTGTTACGCACGGTTGGGTAAACACTGCGCTGTCTGTTGTTCCAGGGAGGGGTGTGACCTACCGTACTGTGACATGGGACAAAATCATCCGTAAGTATTCTCACGCGTGCGTGTCAATGCGCATATGCACACACATACCTACGTACATGGAAACACAAGCGCACACACACTGATATTGCCCCGTCCCCCCTGAGCAACGGGGCGTTGTTATATCCCCATGATGGCGTTCGAGGCACATTTTTATTTTACATTATTGTTCCTCCGGCCGAGTTGTACATGACCAGAACCATACTCTCACAGTCGTTGGTAAAGATGACCACTATGTCGGTTACTTCTTCTCTGCATTCAGCTGGGGAAAAAAAAAAAAAAAAAAAAAAAAAGGTACAAAAATAAAAGACATGTAGCAACGGGGGACATCGAAGGAGGCGGGACAAATGAGAACACCGCGTGGTTGACGCCACCAAAAGTTAACCTACCATGTCGCTCACGCGATAGTACATAAAGATGGCGCCCGGTTTGAGGAACAGTTCGTAGGAGGAGTACGTGGCCTCCACGGCCATGAAGGTCAGCAGGGCTCTGCGGATGATAGGCAGGCACACCGTCCCACAGCCGTACGACATTTTTGCACTTTTACGCTTGGGAGGTGACGGGTGTATTTCTTTATGAGGATGTACAGACTGTCTCCACGTGTGGTAAGGATAACCCTCTGCCGCAACATACAAAAGGATAAGCGCCGGTTATGCACGTGGACGATGTGTGGGGGGGACGCTGCACTAAGCCTTTGCTTCCTTTAATTTGAATTCCTTTGGAGCAACGGGCATGTAACTTGAAGCATACGATGAACTAGGGTTGGGTTGGGTGGAGTTCCTCGAATGAGTGACTTTATTTGGGGGTTGCTCCAGCGGGCGGCCTCTCTCCTGTGGCTCATTGGTCGAATCGTGGGGCATTCCCCTTATGGCGCGCGCGTGCAAAAGTTGTTGCTGCGTTGGTGGGGAAATTTGGCCATTGGAGGATTCGCGAATGGGATGATATTGCTGTAACTCGTTGTGTTTTCTTCCCTTTTCGCAGTTTTAACTGAATGTAGTGTGACCTAGTTTAACCGAACATGACCTAATTTAATTTTTTTTTTTTTTTTTTTTTTTTATTTTATTTTTTTCTTCCCTCGCGTGGCGCCATTGTTTCCTCTTGCCGCTCCACCACAGTACCGCTTGTTTTTTTTTTTTTTTTAACTGCACATGGTTCCCACGGGGACAATGGGGCGTCCCCCAAAAAAGATTAAAAAAAAAAGGGGGAAGCCGCAGAAATGAGTCTTGACCGCATTGTACATCACTTAAAAAAAAAAAAAATTAAACAGAGCAATAGCCACTGATAAAATCAGAGGGCCCTTACACCCCCCCCATGAGTGTTTGCTTAGCGACTCAAAACTGGTGTGTGTGTGGTGCGTGTAAAACCGTTTGGCGCAGTGTATGTATCCCCGACAAGAAACATGGGTTGCCCGCCGGGGGGGGTTTGCCTAGACGGAAGAGAAGGATCACCACAACCTCCTCACTTGTGTAACATTCGGTGTGGCAACATGAGAGCTGTTTTGCGACGCCACTTCTTGTGTAGCGGCAGGAACGATGAACAAAGCAGACGGCTCTGTCTGCTAATGAATGGGAAAAAATCCCTTGCGTCAATGAAGACATGTAATTAGAACAGTGGTTCACAATGAAGAGCCGTTGGGGATGGGGTGCCCCCAAGTGCATACCATTTTGTAAAAAAAAAAAAATTCTCTGCAGTTCGGGGGGGCTATTAACCCCTTGTTTGGTTAAACTGACGTTAAAGTTTGAAAAGGAAAAAAAAAAAAAAAAAAAAAAAAAAAAAA